ATTATTTTTATACTTGGTGAGAGATGGGGATCTAGTTTCATTCTTCTGCATGTGGCTATCTAATTTCCCCAGTACTAATTATTTAAGGTTATCCTTTTTTCAATGTATGTTATTCACACCTTTGTTAAGATCAGTTGGTTATATGTGTTTCAGTGTTTTTCTGCAGTCTCTATTCCATTGGTGTGTGGATCAACTTTTATGTCGGTACCATGCTGTTTTAGTCACTGTAGCTATGTGATACTATTTTAACGTCAAGTGGTGTAATGCCTCCTTGTTTTTTCTTTTTTTCTCAAGATCACCTTGGCTTTTTGCAGTTCTGTACAAATGCTAGTAGTGGTTTTTTTTATTTTGTTATTTCTGTGAAAAATGTTATTGGAATTTTGATAGAGTTTGTGTTGAATTTTTATTTTTTTAAATATTTATTTATTTGAAAGGTGGAGTTACAGAGAGAGATGGAGAGACAGAGATATCTTCCATCCACTGGTTAACTTCCCATTTGTCTGCATGTCAGGGGCTGGGCCTGGCTAATGTCAGGATCCTGGAACTCCGTCCAACTGGGGTCTCCCACATGGTTGGCAGGGGCCATCTACTGCTCCTTTCCCAGGCACATAGCAGGGAGCTGGATCAGAACTGGCGCTCACGTAGGATGACTGCATTGCAGCAGCAGCTGCTTAACCCATTGCACCATAAGGGTTGCTTGTGTTGAATCTTTCAATAGTTTTGGGCATTATGTACATTTTAACAGTACTCGTATTTCCAATCCATGAACACAGGATGTCTTTCCATTCCTTTGTGTCCTCTTCAGTGTCTTTCCTCAATGATTTACCATTTTCATTGTGGAGATCTTTAACCTTGTTGGCTAAATTTATTCCAAAGGTTTTTTTATTTTTTGTAGCTACTGGAAATGATATTTTGTTCTTGATTTCTTTTTCAGATGATTCACTATTAGTATTTAACAACACTGTTGATTTTTTTGTCCAACATTGCTTAATTTGTTTATTATCACTAACAGCTTGCTGATGGAGTCTTTGGGACTTTTGTCTGCAGTGACCATTTGATGTCCTCCCTTCCAGTTGGAATGCTCTTTATTTTCTTCTCTTGCCTAATTGCTACTTCCAGTAGTTATGTTGAATAAAAGTGATTAAAGTAGGCATCCTTGGCTTGTTCTGGATTTAGAAAGAAATCCTTTTCCCTATTTAATATGAAGTTAGCTGTTAGATGGTGGTTTATTATGTTGAGAATTGTTCCTCCTATACCTGATTTGATCAGTTTTCATCATGAAAGGATGTTGAATTTTGTCAAGTGCCTTTTCTATATGTATTGACAAAATGTTTAGTTTATAAAATACACATAGAAACATTATAAAACGTAGGGAAAATGGAAAATAATTACCTAGAATATTTCCCTAACATGCCTATGATTGTATTAATTGTTATAATATTCCGTAAATACATAAATTGTATATATAGTCTTGTTTTCTGCTTTTTTCACTCATTGTTAAGTGTATTTTTTTCTCTGCTTTTCTTGGCCTTGGTGTTTCTGCTTTTTATGGGCCACATGATAGTACAGTAAGTATTTATATATATATATATATATATATATATATATATATATAAAATTCTTCTGTTCCTGAGAAACTATCTTGCTACCAATTTTATTACAAATAATACAATAAAAATGCAGATATCATTTTTTTTAATTATTTATTTATTTGAAAGAGTTACACAGAGAGAGGAGAGGCAGAGAGAGAGAGAGGTCTTCCATCTGATGGTTCACTCCCCAATTGGCCACAATGGCCAGAGCTGTGCCAATCCAAAGCCAGGAGCCAGGAGCTTCCTCTGGGTCTCCCATGTGGGTGCAGGGGCCCAAGGACTTGGGCCATCTTCCATTGCTTTCCCAGGCCATAGCAGAGAGCTGGATTGGAAGAAGAGCAGCCGGGATTCGAACCAGTGCCCATATGGGATGCTGGCGCTTCAGGCCAGGGCGTTAACCCGCTGCGCTATAGCGCCAGCCCCCAGATATCATTTATTGAACACTTAAAGGTTTATACTCTATTTTCTTTGTATTATTTTCTTAAAATTAATATCTGGGATTGATAATATCAGATCATGAACATTTTAATGGCACAACCTTTATTCCTATGTCATCCTTCCTTCCTGTATTTCTTTCTGTCTTCAGACATTCACTGGAAGCCTAGCATGTGTCAGGTAGCACAGTTAATACAAAATAAATCAGATGGAGTCCTTGAAGTTGGACATTAAAAACGCATGATAAAGAGTAATTGATAAAAACATTATTTTTAAAAATTAATTTATTTGAAAAACACAACGAGAGATATATATATATATATTCTGTCCACTGTTTTGCTCCCCAAATGGCCAGAATAGCTAAGTCTGGGCTAGGCCAGAGCCAGGAGTTTGATCCTGGTCCCCTATATCCGTGGCCGGGGCCCAAGTACTTGGGCCATCTTCTGCTGCTTTCTCAAGCACATTAGCACATAGCTGGACCTGGAATAGAGCACCCAGGACTTGAACTAGCACTCTAATATGGGATGCCTGTGTTACAAGGGTTGGGTTAAACTGCTGCACCACAACATTACCCTGATCAAAAAACATCATTGATCGATGGGTCTCTTATCTCTGTATCCATCCCTCCACTACCCATGATTTCCCTGTGAAGCATGGGAGAGCTAGCTGCAGATATAATACCATTTTACCCCTAAGTATTCCAATATAAGAACAAAGACCTTTTAAAAAATAACCACAATGCAGCGACCAAATTCAGAAAATTTAATATGGATATAATACTATTACAGATATAATACTATTACAAAATCTGTTGTCCACATTAAAATTTTACGAGTTATTCAAGTGTCTTATGGCAGTTTTTCCTCTCTTGATCCATGATCTAATTGAAGATAAAGCCATTTCCTTTAATTGTCTTGTCTCTTTTATTTTCTTTAATCTGGAATAGTTCCTCAGCCTTTGTGTTTCATAACATTGTTATTTTTAAAAAAGTAGGTTAATTATCTTGTAGAATGTTCTTTAATGTGAATTTGCTGAGGTTTTCTCTTATTTGGACACTGGCTATACATTTTTGTTAGGAATAGTATGGGAGCAATACTGTGTTCTTCTTTACATATCATATTAGGTATGTGATATTGGTTTGTCCTAATATTGGGTATGTAAAATTTTATTACTTGGTTAAAGTAGGTCCTTTCAAGTTCTTCCATTGTAAAGTTACCTTTTTTTTTGCCTTATTGAAAAGTAATTGTAAGGATATACTTTGAAACTATATAAATATCCTGTTTATCATCCAGCTTTATTACTTTTCATATCCATTGATGATTTTCCAATTCTATGCATTTCTGAGTATATTTATTAATTAGCTCTTTACTGGAAGTAAGCACTTTCCCTACCCTATTTGTTTATATCAATATGAATTCACGGATTCTTATTTTATTGAATGGGTCTTATTCCTTTACTACCATTATTTCTTTTGGTGCCCAAATTGTCCTGCATTTGGGCAGTAGAAGCCTTTTCAAGCTGGCTCCTTTGTGCTTTTGATCGGTCCCCATATTCTTCAAGCAGTTCTTCATGTTTTGGCATAACAAAATTATCCAGGCTAGTTTGTACTTTCCTTATCTCAGTGCTGCAATCAGTTATTTCTTAAGGAATCTTCATCCCTTTTAGTTCAGACACCAATATAGGAGTTTAAATGTGGTATTTTAAAGATTCCCCAAGGTAATTTTGCTGGTCTGTTTCTGTACCCCTCTGTCATACAGACCTCATGTATTTAGAAGTTCTGTCCAGGCACCTGCTGAGTGGACAGGAAGGAGGAGGGGTTGGAATAGTCCATTGAGATGGAGAAACATAAGTTAAAGTCACAGTATATGAAAGTTCCCAACTCTTACAAGGGATTACTGTTTAGTGTAGTTTTAAGTAAGAGATTAGGCCAGAGAATCAGGCAGGGAGCTGTTCATTGACTTTATTTTCCATCTGAAGGAACTTTAACATTATAGTAGATGTGAGGCTGTCATGGAGGATTTAAACTGGGTAGGTAGATGTTTGGTTTTGTTAGATTTGCATTCTAAGATAGATCACTCTGTTTTCACAAGTGACAATGCTTAAAGGATGGATGAGGTAAATGTTTAAAATTATTTTCTAACAAGGTTGCTATTTGCTTTCTTTTCTTTTAAAGATTCATTTTATTTATTTGAAAGTGAGAGTTAGAGAGAAAGAGAGATTTTCCATCTGCTGGTTCACTCCTTAGATGTCCACAATGGCAAGGCTGAGCCAGGTTGGAGCCAGGAGCTTTATCTGGGTCTCCTACATGAGTGACAGGGTCCCAAATGCTTGGACCATCTTCTGCTGCCCAGGTGCATTAGCAAAGAGTTGGGTTGGAAGTGGAGCAGCCAGGGCCTGAACTGGCACCCATAGGGGATGCCAGAGTTGCAGATGGTGGCTTTACCTGCTATGCCACAGTGCCATCCCGTATAATTTGTTTTCTTAAGGGCTTCAACTTTTCTCCTAGAAGCCTGTGTTGTAGCTACTAGATTCTGATGCCTCAAAGATATAGTTGACATTAGTGGGTGAGAGAGCCCACAGGATAGGTTAAAGCTTGAGTCATTGATTTGTCTTTTTAAGAAATGGCAAGAACTCTTCTTCGTAGTTTTCCAACCAGGGCTGGAATCTCAATAGTAGTGGTATCCATTGAAGAAAAATAAACCAAAGTACACAAAGCACTGTTGACTTTTTAAAATGGAAAACCATGATGGATTAAAATATACCTGATGTACTACTGCATTTCATTTTTCTTTATCTTTGGTAAAAATATCAATAATAGTATTGATATAGTAATAATATATGTATTCTACCTATTTTGCAAAGCAACCAGAATAGGAAATCTATCAATTATGTTTTCTGAAATAACAGTAAATTACATCTTTGGCTCAAATTTTATTGTTAACAAAGCAGTTTTTATTTCTGTATTGTTTATAGGCTATAGCCCAACCAGTTGGAGTTGAACAACAAGCAACTCCTCAACAACCAGATTTAGTTAGAAGGTAAGTATTGTTAAATTAATACCATGAAAACAATAAGGTTATGCTGAAGCATGTGAGTTTATTAGATGCTTAATGTATCTTGACTACAGAAGCTTCTGTGTTCTTTAATTTGTGTAAGTTTAATAAAATGGTAGGTATTATTTTTTACATAAATAAGGATCATATGGATTATGGGATTATTGACCATTTTCTTGTTCTTTTTAATTATACTATTTTGTTCTAAGAAAAGCTTATAAGGGCTAAAGAAGGAAGTAAGAAATAATGCAATTTAAAGTAGAATTCCAGCTAATATAAAGAAGTAAATGATTATTCTAAGAGGCACCAATCTGCAACTCTTCCTAACATTTACCACATAAATCATTGTATATTGTTTGGTAGTTGTAAACTAGTATTCTTGTGTATGTTGTTTAGATTGGGATATTTCTGTTGTTCTATCCTCAAATTCACTGATTTTTTACTTTCTCTTACTCATTCTATTGTATCAACTCCATGAATTTTTATTTCTATGACTGTACATTTAATACTGTAATTTCCATTTGACTTTAAAAAATATTTTCTATTTCTTTGATGAAATTTTGTGTTTACATTTGCTTCAGTAGTATTTACAATTGTTCACTGAAGCATTTTGATGATGGCTGTTTTAGACTTCACTGGGGTAGAGGCAGGCATTTGGCCTAGTGGTTAAGACACTGGTTAGGATGCCTGCAATTCCACATTGGAGTGCCTGGATTTGATTCCCAGCTGCAACATCTGTATCCAGCTTCTTGCTAATGTGGAACCTCGGAGGCAGCAGTGATGGCTCTAAGTAGTTGGATTTCTGCCACTCACTTGGGAGACCTGTGTTGAGTTGTCAGTTCCTGGCTTTGGCCCAGCCCCAGCTGTTGTGGGCATTTGGAAAATGAATCAATGGATGAAGGTGCCCTTCCTCCCCTCCCCTCCCCTCCCCTGTCATCGTCTCCTCCTCCTCCTCCTCCTCCCCCTCCCTCTCCTCCCTCTCCTCTCCCTTCTCCCTCTCCTCTCCCTTCTCCCCCTTCCTCCTTCTTCTTCTCTCTTTCTCTCTCTCTCTCTCTATATATATATACACATACATATATATATATATGTATATGTATATTTTTCCTTTATAAAATCATCCAGTCTCTGATTCATCTTAATGGTGACATTTGTTGATTGTCTTTTTACATTCAAATTGTGATTTTCCTAGCTTATTTCCTGGATTTTATTTTCATTTGTCTCTGACATTTTGGATCTTTTTAAAAAATATTTATTTATTTTATTTGAAAGTCAGAGTTACAGAGAGAGAGGAGAGACAGAGACAGACATAGATAGATAGATATGGTCTTCCATCTGCTGGTTCACTCCCCAATTGGCTGCAATGGCTGAAGCTTGCGCCGATATCCGAAGCCAGGAGCCAGGAGCTTCTTCCAGGTCTCCTATGCAGGTGCAGGGGCCCAAGGGCTTGGGCCATCTTCTACTGCTTTCCCAGGCCATAGTAGAGAGCTGGATAGGAAGAGGAGCAGCTGGGACTCAAACTAGCATCCATATGGGACGCCGACACTGCAGGCAATGCCTTTACCCACTACACTATAGCACCAGCCCCAACATTTTGGGTCTTGTACCAGGAAACTGTATTTAAAACTTCTATTTTAATAGATATTCATTCTGTTTAGGTACATGGAGGTCCTAACCTACTTTTGTGGACTATGATATTTAAAGACGATTTAGTTCTCAGAGTCCTTACGGTGCCATTCTAGTCTGCTTTGTTCGCTTAGTACCACTGTCCCCTTCCACTGGGCTGAGGAATAGGGATTATTTCTCCAAGTCTGCTTCCCTAGGAAGATACTGTATGTCATACTCTACTGGTAGGGCTCCTATCAGTGCCCAAGGGGGAGTGTGCCTGCTTAAGTCATCGTCTGCTGCTGGGTTGGGGGTCAGGAGACACTGAGATTGGACTGCCTTTTCTTACTAGGTAGGTAATTGGGAGGGGCCAAGCTGCTGGTTCTCCTCAGTCCTGGGGGTCCATAGCCAGTGCAGTCCGATTTTATCTTTTTGTTCTTCAGTGCTTGCCTGTGATTGTTCATTGTATTCTTTATAGATTTTTTTTAAGCCAGTACTTAAGGGGGAGGAGCACAGAGAATGAATTTCTACTAATTTATCCTAAACATAATGTAGTGTTTTTAAGCTAACTATATAATATAGTCCCATTGACTAAAATTATGTCACTTTTACCTTCCAAAGGTATTATTGTTTATTGCCATTTCTCTGTATATTTAAAAACTTTAGGAGCAGTATTAATATGTCACCTTCTATCACTTTTATTTATATAAATTATTTGTCATGCACATAGAAAAAATTTAAGTTATTTTTACCTCTTCTTGTACATCTCTATACAGAAGCAGCATGAGTAGTTTTTAGAAGAAAGATGTAATAAAAAATTAATTAAAAACATATGCCTGCAACCCATATGGGTGCTGGTTCAAGTCCCGACTGCTCCACTTTCTATCCAGCGCTCTGCTATGGCCTGGGAAAGCAGTTGATAATGGCCTAGGTCCTTGGGCCCCTGCACCCACTTGGGAAACCCGAAAGAAGCTCCTGGCTTTGGATTGGCCTAGCTCTGGCCATTGTGACCATTTGGGGAGTGAACCAGTGGATGGAAGACCTCCCTCTCTGACTCTGCCTCTCGCTGTAACTCTGTCTTTCAAATCAATAAAATAAATCTTTTTAAAAAAAACAGATATGTTTGAACAAATACAAGTGTCCATTTGGTGCTCGCTGATCTTGTCATTTAAATTTCTATATGTTTATTTGACTTTTTGATTTATTGAGTGTCTTCAAATATATTAAATAAAAATCCAAAAAAGGCATTTGACACTACTACCTTGAATCTGTAAAATATAACTAATTAGAATTAATCACATTGAACCATTTGTATCATTCATTTTCATTTCTTGTTTGCCTCCTGCAGTACTCCTGTCTACCACACTTGGCCTTTCTGTCTCTTGAGTTCATTACATAACCAAGTAAATTTTGCCTGAGAATTTGTTTGAGGAGTTTTATTTGAACATATTGATGAAGTGACTAACCCTAAAACAAGATAAAATTAATCAAGAACATCCCCTAATAAAAGTGATCTATCACTGGTGATGTCTGCCTTTTTTTTCTATCATTTTGAGAAGATATTTGCTAAATAAATACAATATGATCTCATTTTTCCATAACTTTAAAAAGCTGCTTTATTGAATTATTCAAATAGTGTAACACACCCCTTTAAAGTCTGTATTGCAGTGCTTTTCATATATTCATAGACCTATGTAATCATAACTTAAAAATAGTTTATATTGGTTTTACTTTAACAAATTATTCATGATTTTTATAATTGGGAATTTTTCTTAGAATTTTACCATCAGAATTGGAATAAGTTGCTTTTTTTTAAAATTTATTAGCATGAATCAAGATATGGCATCTATGAAGGAAAACGCCAATAACCTTGATAACCCAAGTGGAAATGGAAAACAGGATCGGATCAAACAGCGAAGAGCTTCCTGTCCCCGGTCAGAGAAGGGGACTAAATTTCAGCTTACTGTCCTTCAGGTCAGTATGTAAATATGGTTTGATTAGGCCGGCACCTTGGCTCACTTGGCTAATCCTCCACCTGCGGCACTGGCACCCTGGGTTCTAGTCCCAGTTGGGGCACTGGATTCTTTCCCAGTTGCTCCTCTGCCAGTCCAGCTCTCTGCTGTGGCCCGGGAAGGCAGTGGAGGATGGCCCAGGTGCTTGGTCCCTGCACCCGCATGGGAGACCAGGAGGAAGCACCTGGCTCTTGGCTTCGGATTGGCACAGTGTGCTGGCTGTGGCGGCCATTTGGGGGGTGAACCAATGGAAAAGGAAGAGCTTTCTCTCTGTCTCTCTCTCTCTCTCTCTCTCTCTCTCTCTGTCTAACTCTGGCTGTCAAAAAAAAATGGTTTGATTAAAAGTATATGTTTAAGCCAGTACTGTGGCATATTAGGCTAAGCCTCTGCCTGTCTGCCTTTGCCAGCATCCCATATGGGCACTGGTTTATTTCCCGGCTGCTCCTCTTCTGATCCAGCTCCCTGCTGTGGTCTGGGAAAGCAGTGGAAGATGGCCCAAGTGCTTGGGCTCCTGAACCCACGTGGGAGCTCCAGAAAAAGCTCCTGGCTCCTGCTTCGGATCGCCCCAGCTCCTGCCATTGTGATCATATAGGGAGTGAACTAGTGGATCGAAGACCTCTCTCTCTGTCTCTTCCTCTCTCTTTAACTCTACCTCTCAGATAAATAAATAAATCTTTAAAAAGAAGAGTACATGTTTAGATCCGAGTTCCTTGGAGGGACATTGATGTGGAAGTAAGTATAGAATATTGTGAAACAATCTAAATTTTCTTCCACTAAAACATTTCTGATAAGAGTCTTCTGTAGTTGTTTTACTTGGGAAATATAGAGAAAATATAGAGAAGAAAATAAAAATCCTTGGGGTGGGCATTGTGGCTCAGGAGGTTAAGCTCCTGCTTGGGGTGCCCCAACATCCTATTTCAGAGTGTCTGGGATAGAGTCCCATATCTGCTTCTGATCCAGTTTCCTGCTGATGTGCCTGGGAGGCAACAGAGGGTGGCCCAAGTGCTTGGTTTCTCTGCTACCCATGTGGGAGTCCTGGATGAAGCACCTGTCTCCTGACTTCAGCCTTACCCAGCTCCAGCTGTTATAGCCACTTGGGGAGTGAGTCAGTGTATGGAAAAATCTTTCTTTCTATCCCTCTCTGTCACTCTGCCTTTCAAATAAATAAATAAATAAAACTTAAAAAATGAAAATGATTGGGCCGGCATTGTGGCATAGCAGGCTAAGCTGTTGCCTGCAATGCTGGCATCTCATATGGGTGCTGGTTTGGGTCCGGGCTGCTCCACTTCCGATCCAACTCCCTGCTAATGTGCCTGGGAAGGTAGCAGAGGGTGGCCCAAGTGTTTAAGGCCCTCACCATGTAGGAGACCTAGATGAAGCTCCTGGCTCCTGCCTTTGGTCTGGCCTAACCCTGGCTGTGTGGCCTTTTGGGGAATAACCCAGTAAATGGAGGATCCCTCTTTCTGTGTCTCTTCCTCCCTCTCTTCCTCCTTCAAATAAGTAAAATAAGTCTTTTTAAAAATTTTGTAATCACCAGAGATAATTCCTATTAACATTTTAGTTTTCATCTCTTTTTTTTTTATCATGTGTATTGCAGCATTTTAAAAAAAGGTTTATTTTATTTATTTGAAAGACAGGGAGGGAGGGAGGGAGAATATCTTCCATCTGCTCGTTCATTCCCCAAATGGCCACAGTGGCTGGGGATGGGACAAGCCTAAACTAGGAACCTGAAACTCCACCCAGGTCTCCACATGGGTGGCAGGGGCCCAAGTACTTGGACTGTCTTCTGCTGCCTTCCCAGGAGCATTAATAGGAAGCTGGATTGGCTGTGGAGCAGCCAGAACTCAGACTGACACTAATGTGGGATGTGCACTCATGGGATACTGGCATTATAGGTGGTGGCTTAACCTGCTGCCTTATAATGCTGGGCCTCCGTGTAGCATTTTACAATGGAGAACATAATTGTACTAGTAATAGTAGTGAAAATCTGTGGAATTCTTTTGTGGTAGGTATCCTAGTGTTATAAACTCATTTTATCATTTAATCTTTCAATAATCCTGTATTACAGGTGGTAGTGTACTCATACAAATGAGGACACTGAAGATCAGAGAAGTAAAATAATTTACCTCAGGTTACTCAACTAGCAAGTGATAGAGTCAGATCTAAATACTGCTGTATTTCAGACTGTAGAACCTCTAACTAATATAATATATATTTCAGATGGATGCTTAAATCACTATACAATTTTGTATTCTGTGTTTTTAAAAACTTGATAGATCAAGTATTTCCCCCTTTATCATTAAGTACTTTCTCAATAGAATTTTTTTTAAAAGACCCATTTGTTTATTTGAAAATCAGGGCTACAGAGAGGGAGAGGCAGAGGCAGAGAGAGAGAAGTCTTCCATCTGCTGGTTCACTCCCCAAATGGCTGCAACGGCCAGGATTGGGCCTGACTGAAGTCAGGAGCACCATCCTTTTCTCACATGTGGACACAGGTGCCCAAGCACTTGGGCCATCTACTGCTGCTTTCTGATGGGCAATAGTGAGGAGCTAGATCAGAAGTGGAGCAGCCAGGACTCGAACTGGTGCCCACATGGGATGTAGATGCCGCAGGTAGCAGGTCAACCCAGCATACCACAGCGTCAACCCTCAATAGCATATTTTAAATGACTGTATCAGATAGCCCCTTGCATAGACATAATTTAATCATTCCCTCTATTCTTTATTTAGGTTCTCTCTCTGTCTTTATTTCTGCTATTCTTTTTTTCTTCCTTCTTGTTTGTCTGTCTCTCTACGGCATACATCCTTATATACATAAATCTTAGTATCTATCCCTGATTGCTTCCTATGACTGATCCCTAGAATTACCAGGTTAGAGAGCATGCTGGTTTTTTAATTTTCTAAATATATTTCATTAGATTGCTGTGCAGAATTGTTGGACTAGTTTACATATCCATTAGCAGTGCCTCTTTTGATTGGAGTCAATTTCTAAGTTTAAGGGACTTTTGGAAATGAGTGACTGGACGTAAGTCTGAGTTGTCATATAACAATAGTGGTGATATACTTTCATTGATTTTTTATGAAAAATTATGTTCTGTTTTCTTTTGCACAGGGCCATATTTCTAACTTATGTTTCAGTGAGTTATATGTGCCTGTTAGATTTGTCATAGAGTGACTGTTTAGATGGAATTTACCCAAGAAATGTAAAATCTTTATAGATTCTGAACTGCTTAATTCATTTTCCACATATGTTGTATGTATCCTCATCTGGATGTTTTCTGAACAGTTAGCAAAGACAGTCATTGACTCTTAAACTGGTAAAATGTTTGTACTCAGGTGTCAACTTCTGGAGACAATATGGTGGAATGTCAGCTGGAAACACACAACAATAAGATGGTCACCTTCAAGTTTGATGTTGATGGTGATGCACCAGAGGATATTGCAGACTATATGGTTAAGTACAGTAAAACCAAATTGTTATCCCTTCACCATTCTCTGTCACTGCCCCCCAACTCTTCCTACAGAACCATTTTTTAGAGGATACAGTTAGTGTTGACAATTTATTCAGACCTAATTAGTTATGATGAAGGGTAAATCATTGCATCTTCTCTGGTTTCAGTATATTTATCTGGGAAATGTGAGGGGGTTTCATTAACAGATGATTGAGCGCAATAGTTCTTAGCTCTGGCTGCATGTTGAAATCCTCTGAAGAACTTTTTAAATTCTGTTGTCTTTGTCCCTGATTAAATCAGTTTTGGGGGATGGGGCCTAAACATCAATAATTTGTAAAATTCTCCCTGGTAATTGTAGCATGTTAGCCACTGATCTGACATTTGACATGTAGGTGTTCAAGTTATATTCATCATTTCATTTAGTTCTGCCTCTTGTTTAACAGTCATTTTCTGAACTCTGTTCTTTCATACTTTCCCTAAATATATAGCCTAATTAAAGTTCTTCTTAGCCTTTCCTTACTATATTTGGAGGTATTTAATTTGTGATTTGTTGCTTAAAAGCTTTTGGGTTGGGACATCCTAGTTTTAAACCTCGCCTCAATTACATTCTTCAAGTAACCTATTTGTCAAACACTGGAATTTTTTTGTGTTAAATGCTGGCAATCTTTAGTTAGGTAATGCCAGCCTGACAAATGTCAGTGGCCTCAGAATAATTTAATGCGTTATGTGATAATTCATTATTGGTCATTGATAATTCTGTTGTGGCATGGATAACTCTGTGTATACATTATCACCATTTTGAGTACACTAAATTCATTCTCATGAACAGACTTGCTTTTACTTTGGGACAGGTTGAAGATAATTTTGTGTTGGAAAATGAGAAAGAAAAATTTGTAGAAGAATTGAGGGTTATTGTAGGTCAAGCCCAGGAGATCCTTCATGTCCACTCTGCTGCAGAAAGAACCATTGGAACTGATGGTATTACCTTGGAATCCAACAGTAACCAAGTAAGAGCAATTTCTTTAGCAAAAAAGGTTTTCTTGGATATGTATCAAGAACTTCTTTATTTATCTATTCATTTTTAATTTAGACAGGATCATCTGAACAAGTACAGATAAATTCTGCATCTACTCAAACCAGCAGTAAGTATATTTAATAAAAGTAATCATTTGACCTTTGAAGCTAGACATTTAGAAATTTTAATTTATACACTTTCATTGGGAAGGATGTTCTACCATACATAATTTACTAAGTTTTTGATGTAGATTTTCCTTCTCTTTGAAAAGCACCTTATGGTTTTGAGGGAGAAATCCATTTTCCAAATTTCCTCCAAGTATTGGTTCTTTATTTGATTGATTTGCTTCTGAGCTGTCACATGTACCAATGTCCTCTAATGGCATAACTATTTTAAGCTTAACTGGTAAGTGATTTTTCTGTGATATGAGTTGCGCAGAAACTTTGTTAATTGAAATCATTATGTTCTAAATTTGCTTTAATAGTCATTCATATCTTGATTTATTTCTACCATTGATATACTTCTACCTGCCCTGATTACTGATAACTTTTTAAAATAGATTTATTTCAGGCCGGCGCCGTGGCTCAATAAGCTAATCCGCCACCTAGCGGCGCCGGCACACCGGGTTCTAGTCCCGGTCGGGGCACCAGATTCTTTCCCGTTTGCCCCTCTTCCAGGCCAGCTCTCTGCTATGGCCAGGGAGTGCAGTGGAGGATGGCCCAAGTGCTAGGGCCCTGCACCCCATGGGAGACCAGGAGAAGCACCTGGCTCCTGCCTTCGGATCAGTGCAGCGCGCCAGACATGACGGCCATTGGAGGGTGAACCAACGGCAAAAGGAAGACCTTTCTCTCTGTCTCTCTCTCTCACTATCCACTCTGCCTGTCAAAAAATAAATAAATAAATAAATAAATAATAAAAATAAAAAAATAAAATAGATTTATTTCTTTATTTGAGAGACAGTTACAGAACCTTCCATCTGCTGGTTCACTCCCCAAATGGCCACAAGGGCCAGAGTTGGGCTGATCTGAAGCCAGGAGTCTATTCTGGTCTCCCACTTGGGTCCAGGGGCCTAAACACTTGGGCCATCTTCTGCTGCTTTCCCCAGGCATATTAGCCTGGAGCTGGATTGGAAGTGGAGGAGCCAGGACTCAAACCACTGCCCATATGGGATGCCAGTGCCACAGGTGGAGGCTTAATCTACTACGCCACAGCACTGGCCTGAATGATAACATTTTGTAAATTAGATACTGAATAAACTTCCAGAGACTAATACTGTTACCTTCTGTTTTCTGATGACTTCATTTCTCTATTCTTTTCAGCTCTTGTTATGGTATCTTTGTCTCTGTTCTTCTCAGCTCTTATTATGGTATCTTAAGTGTCTGGGAGGGAGAGAAGAACTATAGACATGAAGACCTCTGAAGGAATTATTATAACAACGTGAAAGAACAAAAGGTGGTGTTGGAGTAATGGAGCCATACAACATTGTCCTGAAATTTAGTATGACTGTTTTAGGATGCTAGAGTATTCCTGTATCTTCATTTTCTAGCTAGCAGAGATCTGAGCAGATATCACACTGACAAGTAGGGTAAAGTTGAAAAGATAATTACTTATCTGAGTATGTTTACAAAGTAGGAGTTAAATTGTAAGGGTTTACTCTATTTTTTTTTTACTTTTATTTATTTATTTATTTGAGAGGTAAAGTTTCAGATAGTGAGAGGAAGAGACAGAGAGAAAGGTCTTCCATCCACTGGTTCACTCCCCAAATGGCAGAAAAGGCCAGAGCTGCACTGATCCAAAGCCAGGAGCTTCTTCCAGGTCTCCCATGCAGGTACAGGGGCCCAAGGAGCTGGGCCATCTTGTACTGCTTTCCCAGGCCATAGCAGAGAGCTAGATTGGAAGAGGAGCAGCCAGGACTAGAACCGGCACCCATACACAGGTGGAGGATTAACCTGTGCCACAGCACCAGCCCCGTTTTACTTTATTTTTGAAATTATCATGTAATTAAATTGATTTTCCCTTTAGAACATGGTTATGTAAATTGTAATAATTGTGTAGTTTTATTGAAGCTCCACCATAATCAGGATATAGAACAGGAAATGTAGATTTTAATGGAAAAGTCCTTTCTAATTTTCCTTAAGAGGGCCTTGCTTCTTTCTGTTTGAGAAAAGCAACCGTGGAGTCATTGCTGACACCTTCTGCATGATGTTGGTTAATTGCTTGGCCATTTGTGTAGGGCTTATTTCTGACACCGGAAGTTTTCTCTGGAAGGAGTAAAATAGCATAAAGACTTCTATCAGCATATATGAATTTCCGTACTTCGTTGCTTACTGTCAAGAAGATCTAATTGACTTTTACAAGAATCAATTCAAAAATTAATTTTCTTAGAGGGTTAATACTAGGGACTTATTCTGATCCTAGTTACCCATGTCTTCTGATGTTAATTTTGTTTGGTATTGGAAAATTATCCCTTTTAGTTTCACTCTGGTCTGGTCATCCCTGGAACATTGTTTAATAATCCCAAGTACTTTTTTTCCTTCATTACAATAAGTGAGCCCCTGAGACTGACATACTAAATGACCTTTCTCTGAATCATGATCCTTGTAAATATTAGCAAATGTTAAGCATGAAAAAAAAGAGTGCCTTGCTTGTAATTACTATTAATAAATGTTTGCTTTCATAGACTCTAAAATGTTTCTCTAGAGATATATATGCTTAAATGCTTTAGGCTATTTGTCAGGGTTGGGAGATCTAGCCTTAAAAATTAAACATATCAGGGCTGACGCTGTGGTATAGCAGGTAGCCACTGCCTGCGGTGCCAGCATCCCATATGGGCACTGGTTTGAGTCCTGGCTTCTCCACTTCCGATCCAGCTCTCTGCTTGGCCTGGGTGAGCAGTAGAAAATGGCCCACATCCTTGGGCCCCTACACCCAAGTGGGAGACCTGGAAGAGGCTCTTGACTTTGGATCGGCTCAGCTCCAGCCATTGCTGCCATCTGGGGAATGAACCAGCAGATGGAAGACCTCTCTCTATCTCTCTGCCTCTGCCTCTTGTAACTCTGCCTTTCAAATAAAATAAATAAAGCTTTAAAACAAAGTACACATATTGTGATACTGTTGGAAATAAAGATGCAAGACAAAATCGTTTTTTAACCTGGTTTCCTTGGTCAATAGCTAAATAGAGCTACTTAGCACACTAATTTGTTATTAATTCTTTTCACAGATGAATCTGCTCCTCAGTCATCCCCAGTTGGCCGTTGGCGATTTTGTATCAATCAAACCATAAGAAACCGTGAGGCTCAGTCTCCTCCTTTTCAGCATTCCATGTCTGCTATTCCTGGGCTCCAGCCATTTCCCAGTAAGCTTCATTCTCTGCCAGCCTTATCCTGTGGACATTTTATGCTTATGAGAATTTTCCTAACAATTGTTGATGATATTAATAGTAGGGTATAACTTAAGCCATTTAAAATTTAATATTTAGAAAAAATGAAAAAAGTTTTATTTTTTTCCCTTGACAGATTGAATTCTGTATATGTTGAGTCCTATTTATGAGAACTCTCACACAGGTTTTCATTTGCTCCTTGTTCCATGTTTCTCTTTTGAGTTTGGGTACTAGTCCATGCTTTGTGTTCACCAATACATGCTTAGCCATTCTTTGTTATTGTTCCAGGTCCAAGAAACACAAATAATAAGGAAATATCACAGGACATAGTGCTCACTATAGAAAATAATCCATGTCAGCGTGCACTTTTCACCTCCAAATCAGAACACAAGGATATAGTTGATGGTAAGATTCCTGAATGTACAAGTGTAAAAACTGAGCATCCAGCCATACTTTATCAAGTGAAAGATAACAGGCAGGTAATAGCACCAGTTACTAATAGTTCCAGTCATTCTGCTACTTCAGTTTGTACAGTTCCAGTTGAACATGAGGGACTCCCCAACAAAGCAGGCATATTTATACCTGTTTATCCATGTCAGCATGCTGCCAGTCAGGCCCATCCTGGTGAATCAACTCAGATTGCTGGGAGCTCTCTTATAACTCCAGTATTTGTGTCTGATCAAAAACCTCAGTCCTTACCAGTAAAGCAAATAAATATGGATGCAGAATTTATTTCCCAAGAAGGAGAAACCACGGTGAACACTGAAGCAAATTCTCCTAAGACGGTCATTTCCACTCTGACCCCTGGCCTTGAATCTACTTCCATTGTGCCTGCTACTATCATGGAATCAGATGGTGAAAGACCTCCAAAAATGGAATTTGCAGACAACCGCATTAAAACTCTGGATGAAAAACTGAGAAACTTGCTGTATCAGGAGCACAGCATCTCTAGCATCTATCCTGAGAGTCAGAAGGATACTCAAAGCATAGATTCTCCATTTTCTTCCTCTGCTGAAGATACACTCTCCTGTCCAGTGCCAGAAGTCCTAGCCATCAGTCACTGTGGAATTCAAGATAGCACTGCACAGTCCCCTAATTTCCAACAGATGGACTCTAAGATTCTATCAAATGTGGCTGTAGGTCAGCCTGGTAACATATCAGTGTTCAAAAGAGACCTGAATGTGATAACTTCTGTACCCAGCGAAGTATGTTTACATGTAAGTATCATTCTTTCTAACCAATTGTTTATTCTTTGTTTATAATTTTAAAGAAATGCCTTCTCTTCTAAATTTCTGTCCTTTAAAATAAAAGGGTCTGTGTCACAAGATTCCATGAATATAGTTATCTGAGAAGGGCATGACTTAGACTGCAAGTGCTCTGAACTTTTCAGTAAATATGGCAGAACTACCTTTGGTAAGAGAGCCCTCTGGTGAATTAGTTAGGAACTTGAAAATAATGTGTGTATTTGTATTAATGACAGAATAGATACTTTTTAATAGATATTTTAGTAGGTAGGAAGAACTTACTTTTTATATTTCTACTTAAAATACCTGTTATCAGTTTCCTCTGTAAAATTTTTATGGTTTGAATTTAGTCATGTTTGGAAGTTTTAATTTATTTGCTTTAAGAAAAAAGTAAAAATCATCCATAAGCTCATGACTTAAGGTATGTTACAACAGAGCTTTTATTTCCCTTTTCTACCCCCCCCTTTTTTTTAAAGATTTATTTATTTTTATTTGAAAGTCAGAGTTACACAGAGAGGAGAGGCAGGGGGGAGTCTTCCATCAGATGGTTCATTCCACAATTGCCTCCAACGGCCGGAGCTGTGCCAATCCGAAGCCAGGAGCCAGGAGCTTCCTCTGGGTCTGCCACATGGGTGCAGGGGCCCAAGGACTTGGGCCATCTTCCACTGCTATCCCAGGCCATAGCAGAGATCTGGATCGGAAGTGGAGCAGCTGGGTCTCAAACTGGTGCCCATATGGGATGCCAGCGCTTCAGGCCTGGGCATTAACCCACTGCGCCACAGTGCTAGCCCCCTTTTTCTACCCCTTCAACTCATAGGGTTTTTTTTTAGAGGAAGAGAGTAATTTTATTTTATTTTTTTAACTTTTATTTAATAATATAATAAATTTAATAATATTTAATATTATTTAATAATATTTAATATAAATTTCCAAAGTACAACTTTTGGATTATTGCAGCTTTTTCCCCTCATAACCTCCCTCCCACCTGCAACCATCCCATCTCCCTCTCCCTCCCCCATCCCATTCACATCAAAATTCATTTTCTTTTTTTTTTTTTTCTTTTTTTTTTTTTTTAACTTTTATTTAATGAATATACGTTTCCAAAGTACGAATAATGGATTACTATGGCTTCCCCCCCATACCGTCCCTCCCACCCACAACCCTCCCCTTTCCCACTCCCTCTCCCCTTCCATTCACATCAAGATTCATTTTCGATTATCTTAATGTACAGAAGATCAGCTTAGTATACATTAAGTAAGGATTTCAACAGTTTGCTCCCACACAGAAACATAAAGTGAAAAATAATAGATGATTTTTTTTAATGATGATGAAATCAGATCAGACCTATTGTCATGTTTAATCCCAGTGAAAATTCATTTTCAATTATCTTTATATACAGAAGATCAATTTAGTATATACTAAGTAAAGATTTCAACAGTTTGTACCCACACAGAAACACAAAGTATAAAGTATTGTTTGATTACTGGTTATACTATTAATTCACATAGTACAACACATTAAGGACAGAGATCCTACATGGGGAGTAAGTGCACATTAATTGTTTTATGCAAATTTATTTTGATTCATTTAAATTTAGATAGCCATATGTGCTCAGTAGCTACCACATTGTATAGCACCTGCATAGAGGCTTTTATGAAACTTATAACTTGGAGTTCTGATTATTAGGATGTGTCTAAGTATATAATTTTCTCTTCATCTTGTATACAACTTCTGTGGACATTTTGAGTTTGAAGACTAGTGTCTTTTTTTTCCAGTACCCATAAACTTCATTTTTCTTTTCTTCTTCCTGTACATTGTCTTTCTTCTTTCCCTGTTGAAATTGTTAGAGATAGATAGCCACCTGAGTGTATGTATCCTCCATGTTTCTTAACAGTTTGGTCTCATTTAAAATTTTGTTTCCTTTTTACCTTGTGTTCTTAGATTAGATATGTGTTCAATTTTTTAAAAAGATTTATTGATTTGAAAGGCAGAGTTACATAAAGGGAGGAGGGGGAGAGGGAGGGTAGGAGGGAGAGAGAGTTATCTTCCGTTTCCTGGTTCACTCCCCAAACGGCCACAATGGCTATGGCTGGGCCCGGTCAAAGCTAGAAGCCAGGAGCATCTTCTCAGTCTTCCATGTGAGTACAGGGGCCCAAGCACTTGGACTATCTTCTACTGCTTTCCCTGGCACGTTACAGGGGGCTGGATTGGAAGCAGGGCAGCCAGGACTCGAAATGGCACACATATGAGATGCCTGCATTGCAGGCAGCAGCTTAGCCCACTATGCCACAACACCATTCCCATGTCTTCATTTTTAAAAAATTTTACATCATTGTCCTGGTATATAGCCATATCTGGTTAATTTTCATTTAACAATAATTATTTTGACTTATGAGCTCATTCTTATTTTTGATTCCTTTTGGATAGCATCTCATTCCTGTGTATTTTTCTCCTAAGCATTTTTTTTCTCAGAAAATTGATAAAAGTTTAATTCTAGAATATATAAACAGTGTTTACAAATCAATAAGAAAAATTTCACCAGAAGTGGAAATACAAATACCTGACAAAAATGTAGGAAGATCTTCAACATTATAAATAATAACATAAACACAAAATTTTAAACAATGAGAAATTATTGTTTGTAATATAAAAATAATGTCAAACTTTATTCATAATAGAAATGATCATGTAAACTGAAGGACATTAGTACACTGAAACAATTAAATTGTTAACTCTATAAATATATATTGGCTATTTATGCTGCTATGGATATACCTCTAAGAAAATACACTAGGAAAATATAAAGAACAATTCATACGGAATTAAGCTATATTTTTAAAGCAAAAACACAGAAATATGGACCAGCATATATGTTACATAAATGTATACCAAATGTCTAAAAAGATAATCTGATATTACTTCATATCTTCCAAGGAGGCTGGGATGAAGGATTGTTAGAGAGATTTTTGTTTTATCTAATGCTTTGGATCTTTAGCAGAAGAAAGTTACTCATGTATTTCTTATAATTTTTAGGTGAAAACTTCTCATTAATACAGTATGTTAGAAAGAAAGCAGCTTTAGTTCCTGATTATTCAGTTTCAAAATCTTGCCTTGCCATTTTCTTTGAGATCTTTAGCCAAGTTATCTACACATCTTACCCCACCATAATTTTCTCATCTATAAATTGGAGATAATAGTACCACTTGGAGGGATATGGGATGCTTTTAGTGTGTTCTCTTTATTATTTTTCCATTTTATTTTCTGTTATTTGCACCCTTTAAGTTCAGGAGGTTGTCTTTTCTTGTTTTTTTTTCTTTGAATGTTTTCTTATTTCTTTGAATATTTCCTCTCATTCATTCTCTTATTTCTCCTAGAGAGATACACAAAAATCTGTTTATCTCCTTTTTGTGGCAATCTATATGTAACCTAAAATTTTTCTTATAATTTCTTTTATGGTGTTCCATTCAGTGTTATTAATTGAGTATATTCACAGTGCTGTGTATCCTTCAACATGATCTAGTTCTACAACTTTTTTATCACTTCAGGAAGAAACTCATTAAGTTACTATTCTCCTCTGCCCAGCCCCTCACAATCACTAATCATCTTTCTGTCAACATAGATTTCCCTATTCTAGATCTTTCATATAAATGGAATCATATAATATGGGGCCTTGTGTGTTTAGTTTCTTTTACCAGGAATAATGTTTCAAGGTTCGAACTGCACTGTGTGGCTATAGTCACATTTCATATCCATTCATCACTTGATGGGCATTTAGGTGATTTCTACCTTTTGGCTTTTGTGAAAAGCACTACTGTGGATATATGTATAAAATATTTGATTCCTATTTTTAATTTTTTATTTTCCAATTCTTTAATCTTACTCATCCTAGTTGATGTGAAGTGATATCTCATGGTCTTGGTTTATATTTCCTTAATAACTAATAATGTGGAATATTTTTTTCCTGTGCTTGTTGACTATTTGTCTATCTTCTTTGCAGAAATATCTAACTAAGTCCTTTGTCCAATTTTTAATTGGCCATTGAGTTAAAACAGTCCTTGATGTATTTTGGATACCAGACATTGATCACATATGCAATTTGAAAAAAATTTTTTTCTTATTCTGTGGGGTTTTCTTTTCATTATCTTCATACTATTTTAGAAATAGGCTTTTTTATTTGAGAGGCAGAGAAATAAAGAAAGAAAAAAATGCTCCCATCTGGTGATTAATTCCTCAAATGGCTATACCAGGTAGGGCTAGGCCAGGCCAAAGCCTCAAGCTAGGAACTCCATCGGGATCTCCCACGTGGCTGGTAGGGGCCAAGCACTTGGGCCATCATCTGCTGCGTTTTCAGACACATTTAGCAGGAAGCTGGGTCAGAAGTGGAACAGTAGGGACTCAAATTGGCACTCTGGTATGGGATTTTGGCCTTGCAAGTTGTGGCCACATCCACTATGACTTTTTTTAAAAAAAATATTCATTATTTATTTTCATTTTATTTGAAAGGCAGAGAGACAGAGCAAGGTCTTCCATGGGTCAAGTTACTCCTTAAATGTCTGCAATAGCCAGGGCTGGGCCAGGCCAAACCCAGAAGCCAGGACTTCACTCCAGGTCTCCTATGTAGGTTGCAGGGACTCAAGTACCTGAGCCATCATATGCTGCCTTCCAGAATGTGCATTAGCAGAAAGATGAATCAGAAGCAGAGTAGCCAATATGTGGTCCCATTGGGATGTGCACATCCCAAATGCCAATATAACCACTGCAACAAACACCCAACCCATCACCATTTTTTAAAAGATTTATTTATTTATTTGAAAGGCAGTTACAGAGAGGCAGAGTCTTCATCTGGCTGTTCACTCCCTAGATGGCCACAACAGCTGGAGCTGTGCTGATACAAAGCCAGGAGCCAAGAGCTTCTTCTGAGTCTACCACATGGGTGCAGGGGCCCAGGGACTTGGGCTATCTTTTGCTGATTTCTCAGGCCACAGCAGAGAGCTGGTTTAGAAGTGAAGCAGCCAGGACCCAACTGGCACCCATATGGGATGCCAGTACTGCAGGTGGTGGCTTTACCCACTATGCCACAGCGCTGGCCCCCCATCACCAATTTTGAAGAGAGTATTCTTTTCTTTGAATGGTCTTGCCACCCATGTATAAAATCAATTGACTCTAGATCAATGGATTTATTTTTTCACTCTAAATTCCATTGATCCCTATAGCTATTCTTATTCTAGTAGTAAGTTTGGAAATCAAGTGTCAGCCCTCCAACTTTCTCTTTCTCAAGATGTTTTGGCTATTCAGGTTCCCCTGCAGTTTCATATGAAGCCAGGAGCCAGGAGTTTCTTCCAGGTCTCCCACATGGGTGGCAGGGGCCCAAGGAATTTGGCCATCTTTTGCTGCTTTCCCAGGTGCATTAGCAGGGAGCTGGATCTGTAAGTGGAGCCACTGGAAATTGAACAAGCGCCCATATGGTATGCCAGCTCTAAAGGCAGCAACTTTACCCACTATGCCACATTACTGGCCCTGAGAGTGCTCATTTTTATAACAATGCTACACTTGTGACAATCTATTAATTTTGTGATCCATTAGTGGCTTTTTCTACTCATGAGGGCATGACATAATCACTCCATGGAAGTTCTCCCTCTTTATACCTCAAAATGGGGATCAAATTTCAGCATGTTTTGGTGGGGAGACAGTCAGACCATAGCAGTTTCTTTTATAGATTTCTCATTTCTAGTATATAGAAATACAACAGATATTTTAAATAGATTTATTTTATTTGAAAGGCAGTGTTATAGAGAGGCAGTGGCACAGAGAGAGAGAGAGAGAGAGAGGGAGGGAGGGAGGGGTCTTCTATCTGCTGGTTCATTCCCCAAATTGCCACACTGGCCACAGCTGAGCCCATCCAAAGCCAGGAGCAGCTTCTGGGTCTCCCACGCAGGGAGTCAAAGAACTTGGGCCATCTTCCACTGCTTTCCCAGGCCACAGCAGAGAGCTGGATTGGAAGTGGAGCAGCCAGGACTCATACCCGCGCCCATGCGGGATGCCAGCACTGTAGGCAGCAGATTTATCAGCTATGCCACAGTGCCAGCCCTGAAATATAACTGATTTTTACAAGTTGATATTGAATCTTTCAACTTTGCTGAGTTTATTTCTTAGCTTTATTATTTTGATAAATTCATTGGGGTACTGTTTATGTGAGATTTTGTCATCGGTGAAGAGATAATTTTATTTGTTCATTTCCTGTTTTTTCTCATCTTTCAGCTTTTCATTTCATGCTTTCCACCTCAGCCTTTTTGCTGGGAGAATTTCTTAATTTTTAAACTGCTTACAGTCTCATGTTTAGCTATTTCTTGTTTCAGTGATTGTATTTTTAAATTTCTGGTGGTTATAATTCATTCTTTTTCTTGTAGCTATAGTGTAGTCATGCACAGTTTCTATGTTTTGAACATAATTTGGCTCCTGAACGCAAGTACAAATATTTAACCCCCAAAGTCATAGATTAATAGTACTAAGAAGGTGAGCACTGAATTCACTTATTCATGTTCAGAGGTGAGGCCTAGGCTGTCAAAGTGGATCTTGTTGATTGAATCATGGTGACTTTATAAGGGAGACATAGACCTGCATGATCTTCGACTATAAACCTACAAAACCATGTATCAGAATAATCCTTCTTCCTTCAAAAATAGCTTGTCTCAGATTTAATTGAAGTATCCAGAAGTTGACTAATACAGCTCTTTGACAATGGGAATACATTCTGAGAAATGCATTCTTAGGTGATTTTCTTGTTGTACTACACCATAAAGTGTTCTCACACAAACCTAGATGGTGTAGCCTACTAAACCTAGACTGTATGGTATAGCATATTGCTTCTAGACTACCAGACTGTACAGCATAGTACTGTACAGCCCACTGTAGGTAGCAGTAACACAGTGACACTTTTACAGCTAAACATATTTAAACATAGTAAAGATACAGTGAACATACTAGGTGAGAGGATTTCTTTACCTCTTTTATAATATGATGTAGACTGTTTTATATGTGGTTCATTGTTGAGTGAAATGTTATGTGATGCATGACTGTATATTCACATCTGTCTGTGAAGATATTAGTTGTATTCTATGTTATATTTCCTTGGCTGTTTTTTCTATTTGTTGAGTTTAATGTTTTCTTACAGTATAGATTTTCCAAAAATGGTGATTTTTACCTGTGTACTTATCTTATTTTCCTGTAAGATTCCTTGTTCATCTTTGTATAAAAACTGTATGTTATTACTGTTGTTATTACTGTTGTCTTCCTTCGGTAATTGTGAGAACGGTGTGGTACATGCTTCCTGGTATTGTGTATTGCAGCCTGTCTTTCATACTACCTCAAGGGTGACCCAGCAGCTACTTTCCAAAAGGAAGAAGTTTCACCCTTCCTTCAGGGTGTTTCATCCCTAAGCTGACCTTTTTTTCTCTTGGGCACAAACTTTTTCCTCCTTCTACTCTTATTTGGGAGTAAATTCCAAATGCTTAGTGTAGAGGTGGAGAGGGAAAGGACAAAACTGCCTGAGTATTCTTTCTTTAGGATCCCAATCAGTTTACTCTTCATTTAGTAAATGCCTATTGAAGAGTGAATATTTCAAAACTTTTCTATTTGAATTAAAGGACCATGGTACAAACTAACAGATTATGCTATAAGAGTCAGGGAAGGACAATGTGCATTTTCCATGAACATTTTGAAGGCCTATCATATCTGCCACCTGAATTTGCAGCATTTTGAAATAGTTCCCATGTATGTCATGGTCTGCGTTTTCCTCCTTCAGTCATATGCTGGTGCCTGTATCTGTTTTTCCTGTCATGTCTGTAGATTTGAATTCGTCAGGGAGGCTAGAACATATATTTAATTTGCAATCTTGATCCAATTACTATGTATTAAAATCTTTTCTCTGATTTCAGTGGGACCAGTGCAACATTTAAGTTGTATAGTTATCAGGAATTTTTTTCCTCTGTGAAAGTAGTTATTACTACTTCAAAAATGGGGTTTTAGAAAACAAAAACTGATTGTACAGAATTTTACTTTCAAAAACTCCTGACTTGCCCCTAAGTGTTAATAATACTTCTCTAAGACAGTCTGCTTACTCTGATACTCTGTCTTCCTTCAAACAGATACTAAATCTCATTGTTTGTGCTTTTTTATATGCTTTTTTAAAAACAATATTTATTTATTTGTTTATTTGAAAGTCAGAGTTACACAGAGAGAGAAGGAGGGGGGGTGGTCTTCCATTTGTTGGTTCACTCCCCAATTGGTTGCAACGGCCGGAGCTGCACTGATCCGAAGCCAGGAGCCAGAAGCTTCCTCTGGGTGCCCCATATGGGTGCAAGGACCAAGCACTTGGGCCATCTTCTACTGCTTTCCCAAGCCACAGCAGAGAGTTGGATCAGAAGTTGAACAGCCAGGACTCAAACTGGTGCCCATAGGGGATGCCAACCCTGCAGGCGGCAACTTTACCACAGCGCAGGCCCCCTTATATATGCTTTTAATCTTCAGTTGGTAGTGACCATTCTCATGTTTCTCATAGTATTTGTGGTAGTGTGTATTAATCTTTTATATTGGCCGGCGCCATGGCTCAATTGGCTAATCCTCCGCCTGCGGCACCGGCACCCCAGGTTCTAGTCCCAGTCGGGGAGCCAGATTCTGTCCCGGTTGCTCCTCTTCCAGTCCAGCTCTCTGCTGTGGCCCAGGAGTGCAGTGGAGGATGGCCCAAGTGCTTGGGCCCTGCACCTGCACGGGAGACCCGGAGAAGCACCTGGTTCCTGGCTTCAGATCAGCTCGTTGCACTGGCAGCAGCGCGCCGGCCGCAGCAGCCATTGCGGGGTGAACCAACGGACGACGATGACCTTTCTCTCTGTCTCTCTCTCTCACTGTCTACTCTGCCTGTCAAAAAAAAGTTAAAATAAATCTTTTATATTGATTATTGTGGAGAATTTATTTTTAACATACTTAAATACAACAATTAATTCTGGGTTTCTTTTGGGAGAGATTGGAAGACATGAAAAGGGGAGAATGATTTTATAACCAGGATGGCTTGATGTTGACAACTTTTAGAGCATGAATTTGAGATACTTTTGAAGTTCTTTGTAAATTTTGCTGTGCTTACATAAAGTAAGATATTTGATTTGCTGGTGTTTCTCTGTCATTCTTAGTTCCTTAGTTATCTTATTTTACTGTGTTATGTGTGTCAGACATCTTTAATTCTCTTAATAATATGAGAATAAATAAACATTTTTATTTTAATAGCATGGGGTTTCAGTAACCTGTTTAGTACATTGATCCATATGAAAGAAGTAATCTTTATTTTAATTGTCAGTTTTCAAAGTTGACATAATGATGAAAAGTGTTTTGGGATATAAGATTAATATTCTGCTCTTTTATTTATCTAAGGTATATTTTTAAAGTGTGAAGGCTTAATTCCTATAAATTCAGTACTTCAAGGTCAGGCTGATGTACTGCTATTAATGCAATTTTACATAATCTCCTAGTTTTGATTAATCTATACAAGAAACTCCAGTGGTAGAAAAAAAAGTCACCATTCCCAGATTATTACCCTTTCGGTGTTTCTCATTTTTTGTCTCCATTAGGAGATGTCTCCAGATGCTTCACTTCCAGGGGATCCTGAGGCCTATCCTGCTGCTGTGTCAAGCGGTGGAGCCATTCATCTGCAGACAGGAGGTGGATATTTTGGCCTAAGCTTTACTTGTCCTAGTCTCAAAAATCCTATTAGCAAGAAATCCTGGACTCGCAAATTAAAAAGCTGGGCATACAGGCTACGGCAGTCAACCAGCTTTTTCAAGAGATCAAAAGTCCGTCAAGGTAGTGTGCTTACAGTCAGGGACATAGACTAGGTAACATCATTTTTCATTTACTTATTTTTTTTTGTTCATACACAAATCTTGCCACTTTTTTCCATGTAGCCCATGTATGTGACATAGCCCATTGATATCATTGCCATTTTGATTTTCCTTTTGCAACTAATTTGATTTTCCAGTTATTCATTTCACATACATAATAAGTCTCGGGATCAATATTGCAATGTCTGATTTAGAGTTTAGGGACTTTTGCAATGTTACTTATGACATTAACACCTTTTAATTATCTAGCAGGAGTTAAATTTTTTTCTACTTTTCTTCATTTCTGTGCGTGAAAACAAACTTAGTCTTAAATGATTTTCTCTTTTCTACTTAAAATTTGGCACAACTTGCAGTGGAAACAGAAGATGTAAGATCAGCAAACGCTTGTGATCCCATTCCTTCGACACAGGAGTCCTCAGCTGACACTAGGGCTTTGAGTAGATGCAAGGCAATGAGTGGATCGTTTCAACGGGGTCGATTCCAGGTTTGTGTCTTTGTTTGAATCTTTATCCACAAGGGCATTCTCAAAGATAAAAGCATGGAAGATTTTGGTCTGTAGATGATCATTTAAATGTAGATGTTGTCATTTTTAATTTGTTCACGTTCCATGTATCCCCTCACCTTTTCAAGCCATCATTTGGGATGATTCCAAAGAAATAAGAATTTTAGTAAGTGGAAGAGATGATAGAACTGGGTCATCATTTTTGGCAGGTGGTTGTGTCATCTTTATATATGAATTTAATCTCATGCCCTTTACAGTCTTGGCGACTTTAATTGTGGAATGTTTTCTGAGCAGTGTGATGCCAACTCTCTTTACCCATGGGGCCTGGATATATGGGGTGCAGATGAAATTTTTCAAATTTTGTATTATCGATCCATATACATCACAGTAGACTGTGTATTGATGCTGAATTTCTTTATGGGGTCACTCTTTGGTTAGGTGCATAGCCAGACACTTTTACCTTTTTGTATCTCAGGTGATTACCATTCCTCAGCAGCCATCAGTGAAAGCGACATCTTTTGAAATAGAACACAGACCTGCACTGAGGGAAACAACAAAGCATTCTAGTGAAGAAGCTCCAGCCTTTCCTGAAAGAGCAAAGTCTCAGGCGGTAGACATGGAACCTGCTGTGCACAACCCACAGACTTCATTATCTTCTCAGAAGTTAGGAACTCTTCACAAAACCTTTAAAGAAGACAAAGGCACTCCCAAACAAGGTGACACCTTCTTATCTTTCAGCACAGCTTGTGAGACTGATGTATCTTCAGTGACCCCTGAAAAGGAGTTGGAAGAAACTTCAGCCACAGGAAGTAGCATGCAGTCTGGATCCAGACTGCTGCTCAAAGAGAGAGAGGTACTCCCTGCTGGCAAACAGCCTAGTTCTGATAGTGAATTTTCAACCACACTTTCAGGCAGTGGAATCTCCATGGCAAAGAATGGTCCAGAGAGTGATCAGTACTTACCACACCATGAAGGACAAGACTATGATCAAACTGAAAGTTCACTTTTCTATTCACCATCTTCCCCAATGAGCAGTGATGATGAGTCAGAAGTAGAAGACGAAGACTTGAAAGTGGAGCTTGAAAAATTACGAGAAAAGTAAGAACTGTACTATTTGATTGGTAGCTGAGAATTGGTGGTATTTCAATGACTGAAAGCTCTTTATGATCAGAAATTGCAAAGAATGCTAATGCCAGGTATATATGAATGTTACCATTCTTTTTTTAAAGATTTTTATTTATTTGGGAGGCAGAGTTACAGACTGAGAGAGGGAAAAACAGAGAGAGGCCTTCCATCTGCTGGTTCACTCCCTATATAACTGCAACATCTAGAACTGAGCTGATCTGAAGCCAGGAGCCAGGCACTTAATCTGGGTCTCCCATGTAGGTAGCAGGAGACCAAGCACTTGGGCCATCCACCACTGCTTTCCCAGACCATTAGCAGGGAACTGGATCAGAAGTGGAACAGGGGCCCGTGCTGTGGCATGGCAGGTTAAGCTATCACCTGCATTGCCAGTATCCCATGCGGATGCTGGCTCGAGTCCCAGCTGCTCCACTTCTGATCCAGCTCTCTGCTATGACCTGGGAAAGCAGTAGAAGGTTGCCCAAGTGCTTGGGCCCCTGCACCCTGCATGGGAGACCTGGAAGAAGCTCCTGGCTTCTGACTGGTCCAGCTCCAGCCATCACGGCCATATGGGGAGTGCATCAACAGATGGAAGATATCTCTTTATCTGCCTCTGCCTCTCCCTCTCTGTGACTCTGTCTTTGCATTCAAATAAGTAAATCTTAAAAAAAAAAGAACTGGAGCAACCAGGACTCAAGCCAGCATGCATATGGGATGCTGGCATCGCACAGGCAGCAACTTTATCTAATTCACCACAGTGCTAGCCCCTGTCATTTTTTCTATAAGGTCTGTTTTTTTCATAGTGATTTTTAGTTGCTATTTATATATTCTGAATATTAGACCTTGAGTATATGGTTCAAATATTTTCTTACTGTTTAGGCTTATAATATATGATGAAGAAGATGTTAATATTAACATTGTTTGACTCTAAATTTTGCTATATTGTCTTTGACTATAATGAAGCTTTAGAAATTTATTTTTGTCAATTTTTTTTCCTTTAAAACTGATTAGTTTACTGTTATGCCTAGGGGGCATTTCCCTTCCAAATTTTGTGAAAACTCTCTGTATTTCCCCAATTTTTAGTTTAAATTCCTGGCTAAACTTAACTTGTACTGGTTTAGTGTTGCCTGGCTCATAAGCTTTATGGTTCTCAAGCCATTAAAGTGTTTTCTGCATGATTTTCATTTAGACACATTCAAGAAGTGGTAAATCTTCAAACCCAGCAGAACAAGGAGCTGCAGGAGCTCTATGAACGCCTTCGGTCATTCAGAGATAGCAAAACCGAGTCTTCGGAGATTCCTTTGCCACCTGCATCACCACGTCGACCAAGATCTCTGAAAAGTAAACTTCGCAGCCGCCCTCAGTCCTTGACACATGTGGATAGTGGCGTGGTTGCCACAGGTAAATCAATCATAAAAGCAAAATTAGAAATATGATAATAATAATTTGGTTTTCATTAGGCTAAAATGATTTACCAAAGTGTTCATTATTCTGAGGTTATTTTCTCTTTGGTGTTATTTGTTCTGTGTGAAATATTAATAAGGATAATTGATAGATATTGAAGGACAACTAACTGGGTGTGTTTTATTTGCAAGAACAGTTAAAAGCCCAATATTAATCCCCAAAATAGTTTCTAAAATGTTTTCTGCTAATTGGAACCTCTATTGGGGAGCTTGAAGGGATCTTTGTTTAGTATTTACAAGAATGTTAGTAAAATGCACTTCCTTGACTTTGAAAAACAGAGAACCAGTGTCTACTTAACTAATATTATGTGAGACGTCTTTGGTTCCAGGTACACAGTCAAGGTGTGGTTGAGGGTGCACTGGAAGGACACAGTCATATGTGAAATCTCAATAGAACTTATGGTGGACAAAATAATAGCCTGAAAGACATCTGTGTGTAAACCCCTGGAACCAGTGACCACGTTAGGTTATATGGCCCAGGAAAATTAAGCTAACAGATAGAGTTAAAGTTGCTAATCAGTTGCTAATCAACTGACTGTAAGAAAGATCAGTTTGGATCCAGTGAAATTAGAGGACTCCTTGAAAATAGAAGAGAGAGATGGAAGAGAGGTTCAAAGACATATTACGATAAGGGAAACTGTCAGAGATGCAACATTGCTGGCTTTTAAGATGGACAAAGGGGACTCCAAACCAAAGAATTCAGGCAGAGTATAGAAGCTGGAAAGGCCAGGGAACAGATCTTGCCTAGAGCCTCAAGAATCAACACAGCCCTGCAAACACTTGTTTTTAGGTCATGAGACCCCTGTTCGACTTAGACTTGGAACTCACAGTACTGTAAATTCAGTTGTCTTAAGCCACTCAGTTTGTGGTAATTAGTTATAGCAGTAATACACAACTAATACAGAATTCAAGGATAGGAACTGTACATTGGATGATCCTCATAAAGATAGAAGTAAAGGGTAGACTTGGCTTGAAGGCAGCTTTGGAGATTTAATAGCAGAAACAATGAAGTTTCCATTGGATGATAAACCATCATCGCTATACTTGATTGCATTATATTTTCTCAACTGGTTTACTTTTATGTATACTTCTTCTTCCTTGAAACTTTGGCATTCAGATAACTTTGGCTTGTTCTAATTCCAAAACATTGTTTTCACTTTCAGATTTTTGCTTACCTGAACTTTTGCACGTTCCAAAGAAAAAAAATGTTTTAAATTTATTTGAAAGGTAGAGAGACAGAGACAGGCACATACACAGAGATTCAATCTGCTGGCCCACCCCCCCAGTTGCCTGCAACTGCCAAGGCCAGGGCAGGCTGGAGCTCCATCCAGGTCGCCATGTAGGTGGCAGGGACCCACACACTTGAGCCTTCACCTGCTGCCTCCCAGAGTATGTGCCAGTAGGAAGAGGATTTGGAAGCAGAGCTAGCACTTGTATCCAGGCACTACAACATGGGATGTGGGCATCCCAAGTGGCATCTTAATTGTTGTGCCAAATGCCTGCCCCTCAGAGATAAAAGTTTGGCTTGCCCAGCTGATCTTTTTCATGAAATGGGTCAGAGGCCGTTGCCTGACATGCGGTTGGGCCGTTCTACAGTCAGGCATCCACCTATTTCTAAGCTATAAGTATCAAAGGAGTGGGATCTTATGGTAAAAACATGCCTTTTTGAACTAGCTTCTTTGACTCAGAACAACGTCTTTGGAATTCTTCAAGTTATTTGGTATTACAATAGTTTTTACTGCAACGTAGTATTCCATGCTGTGGCTGTACCACAGTTTGCTTAACCATTCACCTTTTGGGAGGATATCTGAGTTTCCAGTTTTGAGTTTTACAAATAATGCTGCTGTAAATATGTATGTACAGCTTTTTGGGTGAACATAAGTTTTTAAGTTCACTTAAATGAGATTGCTGAATTAATAATATTTAAATTTTTTAAGAAACTGCCAAACTGTTTTCTCAGGCAGCTGTATTATTTTACATTACCTTCAGCAATGAATAAGACATCTAGTTTGTCTAGATGTTCTTCAGCACATGGCATTATTAGTATTCTTTATTTTGGTATTCTACTAAATTATATACTAGCATAATCTGGTGGCTTTAATTTTAATTTCCCCAATGATTAGAGATGAACATTTTTTCTTGTTCCTATTTGTGATTTACATATTCTCTTTGTTGATGTGCCTCTTCAAGCCTTTTGCCATTTTTCTGTATCCTGCTTTATTTTTAATTGAAATTTTCATTGAAATAATTGTGGATTTACATGTATTTCAAGAAATAATACGGAGAAACCCTGTGTATCCTTGACACAATTTGCCCAAAAGGTAATTTTTTACTGTTTTAGAATTAATAGAATTAATGTTAATTTTCATATAGTTGATTTTTTAAGAGTTTTTTTCCTGTATTTTGGATAAAAATCTTTTGTGGGACATGTGACTTGCAGATATATTCTTCTGGTCTGTAACTTGTCTTTTCATTCTCTTAAACAGTGTCGTTGGCAGAGCAAAAAGTTTATGATTTTAATAAAATACACTTTATTAAAAATTTTTATGCATTATGATTTTTTGTGTCATGTGTGAGAACTCTGAGAATACCAGGTAACAAAAAGTTTCCACTGTTTTCTTCTGAAAATTTTGTAGTTTTGTGCTTTACATTTAGAACTATGATACATTTTTAAATGACTTTTGTATAAGGTTTCAGATGAGGTCATAATTTTGTATGTGGGTATTCAGTTATTCTATTAGCATTTGTGGCAAGAGCATCCTTTCTCCATTGAACAGCTTTCACACCTTTGTCAAAAATCTGTTGGCCATCTATAAAGGTACTTGAAAAACTGTGCAAACGGAAGTGAGAGAGAAATTTATTTTGGAGCGAAAAAGGTGTTGAAATCTATGTGTTAAGTTTTTTCATAATACCCATTTTCCATGAACTTTTGAAGACCACTCATACATGTGAGGACATTTCTGGATTCTTGTATTCTATTCCGTTAATATTTTACCAATAGCATGCTTCATTACTATAGCTTTATAGCAACTCGTTAAAATGATATTGTTAAAATCAGGTATTGTGTTTCCTATAACTTTTTCATTTTCCAATTGTTTTAGCTGTTCTAGTAAGGTAGTCAACCATTTCCTTTTTGTATAAATTTTAGAATCAGCTTGATTGTATCTAAGAAATACTTCTGCTATGATTTTGATTGGAATTGTGTTCAGTCTTTATCTGTTTGGGGACAGTTGACACTAATGTGTTGAGTCTTCTCAATAAATATGGGATATCTCTACATTTCTTAAGCTCTTTGATATGTTTCATCTTCTAATAGTTTTAAACATATGGATCCTATATATGTTTTGTTATATTTATACTAAGGATTTCTTCTGTTTTGGGAAGGGTCCCAATTACAAATTGCCAGAGCAATGTGGTAAATTTTTCTATATTGATTTCGTGTCCTAAGATCTTACTTCTAGTAATTTTCTTGTAGAGCCTTTAGGGTTTTCTGAGTGGCCATATTATCTGTGAGTAGGGAAAGTTTTATTTCCTATTTTTCAATCTGTATGCCTTTTATTTCTTTTATTACATTAGCTAAATTTCTATCATGATCATGAATAGGAGTGGTAGAGTTGGACATCATTACCTTTTTCTATTATTATTTTTAAAATTTATTTATTTATTTAAAGGCAGAGTTACGGAGAGAGGGGAATAAATAAATAGAGACAGAATGATATTTTCTATCTGCTGGTTCACTCCCTAAATGACTGGAATGCCTAGGGGCTCTGCCAGGTTGAGGCCAGGAGCCTGGAACTCCATCCAGGTGTCCTATGTGGGTGGCAGGGAACTAAGTAGTCAGACCATCATCTGCTGCTTTGCCATGGATATTAGCACAGAGCTGAATTGGAAGCAGAGCAGCTAGGATGCAAACCAACACCCGAATGGGAAGCTGCTGTTGCAGGCTGTGGCACCACTATGCCAGCCCCTGCTGATTTCCAATTTCATTCCGTTGTAACAGAGCACAGGCTTTCCATGGTTTCAGTCCTTTTGAAATTATTGTGGCTTTGTTTCTTGGCCTATTATCATTACTGGAAAAAATGTTCTATGTATATTTGAGAAAAGGGTACATTCTGCTATTTTTGAGTGGAATGTTTTATGTGTATATATATATATATAAACTAACATATATATCTGTATATGTGCATATATATATATATATATATGGTTGGCTTATAGGACTGTTCAAATCTTCTACTTGTTTGTTGATCTTCTATCCTAGTTATTTTGGAAGTTGTTGAAAATGATTTAGAATCTCCAACAATTGTTGAATTTCTCCCTTCAGTTCTATTTTGGCTTCATATGCTTTGGAACTCAGTTGGTAGTTATATATCTGTTTATAATTGTTATATCTTTTTGATAGTAGTATGTGTTTCTGATAGTACTTTAGCTGATCTTATTCTCTTTTGGTTAATGGTGTATGTACTATATGTTTTTCTATTCTTTCACTTTTTTAAGACTTATTTTTTTTTATTTGAAAGGCAGAGTTACAGATAGGCAGAGGCAGAGAGGGGGGGGGGGTCTTCCATCCACTGGTTCACTTCCCAAATAGCTTCAATGGCTGCAGCTGGGCTGATCCAAAGCCAGAAGCCAGGAGCTTCTTCCAGGTCTCCCACATGGGTGTAGGGGCCCAAAGACATGGGCCATCTTCTACTGCTTTCCCAGGCCATAGCAGAGAGCTGGATTGGAAGTAGAGCTGCTGGGACTGGAACTGGCGCCCATATGGGGTGCCGGCACTGCCGGTGGCAGCTTTCCCTGCCTCACCACAATGCTGACCCCCATTCTTTCAGTTTTAATGCATTTGGATCTTTGAATCCAAGCTGTGTTTCTTATGAACATCATATAGATAAATTGGAATTTTTCTATAAGGAGTTTTATAGAATTTTCTGTAAGATCTTC